TTGCAAAAGATAGACAACAAGGTTTATGAATCTTTTTTCTCTTCTTATTATATATTTATATAAATATTTTCTTTCATCTTCTCTACACTATAAAAAGGAAAACAAAATCTTCCAGACATTCAATCAAAATTTTCCACACACTAAAAATGCACTAATGTCCCACACCTGATCTAACAAGACATCTTAACAGAATTCATGGAGGTTTGATAGTGAAAATTTACCACTAGGCCAGTTTAAACTAGATCAGTTATATTCATGTGGATATAGATAAACTAGAAGAGCTCGGACAATCCTCTCAGTATTACAATTAAGTAGATCACTTAAAAGTCATTGTTTCAGACTGCAGTAACAATCAAATTGTATTAGTTCTCCAAATATACAAGATGATGCATCATTTACCCTACAGTTGCCCAAGACAGACAGAACCTCACCGTAAAGCCCCTTCACAGTCTTACACTACTGTGCTATTCTACTGCCACCATAATAGCCAGCTATTAATGCTGACTAACAGCACTTGGCATACAACACCCAAAAAAAACTAGCTAACAAAAACTCCTTTCCAAACAGTATTATTTTCATTTCAATACATCTCTTTGGAAGAAGAGATACAACAGCAGGAACATCATAAATATTTTAAGGTATTTAATGGAAAAACAACCAGTTGAGAAACACTTGAAAACCGACTAACAAACACCTGACAGGTTGGGGTTTTTTTCTATTAATTACATTTCCTATCATTCGTGTATCTAAATTAAATGGCACTTAAAATGAGGCTAAGAGCTGACTAAAGCAAGTATAGTGTTTTGCCTCTGAAAAACTGTAAAGAATCTCCTTTTCAAAAATTAAAAAAAAGCCTACCAAGCCTTGGTCTTGGCCTGAAGACCATCTCCAATCCTTTCACTTCTAATGCACAGTTATCCTGTAGCAATGACCCCCATGGAACAGATAAAGAAATTGATTGGATAAATCCATCTGTGACTTCCAGAGGTGCATCTGCAGACTCCAGGATCTCATTAAGACACTAGAAGACAATAAAAATAATATATTTAAAAAACCATAACCATATTTTTGTATATAACAATTAAAACATTGAGGCTATGAGGAAATTCTACTCAGGAAGACAAAAAAACGGCCACTTTCAAGTATTTTGATTCCATTGTAATTTGTTTCACATTAATTACATAGCTGTCAGCATAATACAGATCTCTCTGTGGTAGCTGCGTAACCTGTATTTTTTGCACTATACCAAAAAAATTCTGCTATCTCCCTGTTATAAATACTATAGTACTGACACAAGTTAAATCTGTTCTTTCTCCAGCAATACCTGAAGAAATTTGAGAACAGGCTGACAGTAAAAACACAAGTACCTGGTTTCTGTGGCAAGAGTATTTCACTAGCATGTAATTTTAATGCAATGTTCATTTTACATTTCTCTATGACACTGAAACAATGGAACCAAATAATCATCTCTTGCTGTACAACATACTTGCCATTTCCAAATCCTATTTTAATGTGTTCAGTGTTGAGCACCAATTTAAAAAATGAAGCTCAGCAGACAGACCAATATTCTACAGGAACTGTTCTAGTAATCCAGTCCTTTATAGTGACATTATAAACAAAACTATAATCAAGTTGCCCTCAGCTTCATGCAGATTAAATGAAATTGATAAGAAAAATATAACAGCAGCTCTGAAATAACAATTTAGGATTTTTAAGTGAAGACTCAAATTTTGCAGTATATAGCTTTCATTACATCCATACAGGAAAAAAAACATATTATTTGCATTTATGTTAAAAAAATGCAAATTCCAGTTTGTACCCCAATTCAAAAATTTAGTTGAAACTGAATTTATTGAAGAAGAACTATCTAGGCTGCTTTACTAAAAGAAAAAACAATCTAAAGACTGCGGTTGTAATATTGTAAGTGTGGTTTTGACCTTCCTGTGTTGAACAGGGCCACTGATTTTACCTGAGAAAATGCATAAATTCAGCATCAAAAGTTTTGTAAAAAAATAAGGATTTAAAAATTGCTTTCCATTTTAATCATATTTAAAATGTTGTTTGAACTATATAGCATAATTTTAAAATAAAAATGAAACAATAAACTTTTAGAAAGTAACATTTCTCATTCTTACATCTCCAGGTGCAATTTTCCCATCATGTTAACTTGTTGCTCTGCTTATGCTCTTAATAACTTTGCTTTTAGAATTCTGTTTGCTTGAATGTTTGGCTTTTCTAGTTTCTGTTCCAAAGTCCACTCGAGCAGCAGAAAAAGACTTTTAACTTTAAAGAAACAGAACCTGAAACAGTTCTATCGGGAAATTAAGAATCAAATAATCATCTGAGATTCAGTGACTTTATTTTGAACTAATTGTAAGAATTACAGATGTGGTAATAGCATAAGATAAGGCAAAAATAATAATTTGGCATAAACACCATACAAAAATATCACAGATTCATCTAAATTACTTCAACCTTTACAAAATAATTTGCTATAGCAGGCAGTAAGCTAGTTATCATATTTTGAATAAATCTGACTCAGATGTCTTTTTGCTACCAACATACACAGCAATAAAAATGAGTGTATTTTAGTATATTTCTTACTATTTTGAATAGAAATGTACCATCTAAAAACAAAACAAAACAAGTAGTATTGAAGCTAAATCGCTTAATAAACAAGCCAGGTGTTCCTAGACAGGAGTAATTAGAGCATTCCAAGCAAAATTTTAAAACTGAAGCAGAATCTTCACATCAGAACTTATTCCCATGTCATTGACTAAAAGTCTCCAGCTGGAAATCACAGTAATAAACTAGTAACAAAAGTACTATTCAATGTATATTAAAATTCAACCACAAACAGCATGGGTTACATTTTGATTTTTCTAAACAGCCCAGGTCCCAAGAGACAAAGGGGTTACAACAAGAGCCACAGACATTCCTGTATCTCCATAATCTATAAATATGCACAGTGTTGGCTAAAATATCTAAAACTTAAGACGAACAGATCCACAAAAATGGATAAGATAATATGTAAAATTACAGTCATCCCAGTGATTCATAGAGAACAAGCTTACAATGACTGGGGGGAAAAAAAAAGCTGTAGTACTTCCGCGACATCTGTTTTTGCAATCTGTCATACATGAGAAAGTCACATGCAGAGAACCTCAAACATGTCATTGTTTACAAGCAAAAAGAAAAATGCTGATCTACAAATAGGGAAGATAACCTAAGCATTATTGTATATATATTTAATCACTGTGTATATATAATTAACTGCTCATTGAGTATTGGTCCGTAACTGCTGCTATTTCAAAGTATTTACATTTTAAATAATGTCACTGACTAGCGAAAAACGCTGCGATACCCACTAGAGGGCATAATAATTCAATTAAAGCGAGACAGCCTTACTGTCTGCCACAGAAAACAAGCTGCAGACACAGCCAGAAAAGAGGAAAACAAACGAGCAAACAACAACCAAAAAAACCCAACTAAAAGACTGGTAACATTGAGCATTTCTGCAAACGTCTGTCCCCTGCCAATTTCAAACATACTTTCACGCAAACAACTGGAAAAGCATTATTTGAAAACATCACATACTCACAAGGATTTTAAAATGTACCCAGCACGGCCTAATACCAGAATATAGTATAGTAAAAATGGGGTTTGAAAGTATTTTGTAAAGTAATAAGCCTGTGTACCTAGTTCACCATCTGGGCTACCCTGGAAGTCAGTAACTGACGCACAGCAGTGCTTAAGGCTCCTCATGATAGTCACTTGACAGACAGGTAGAATTCAGTACCGTTGGTCATCAACCCAAGAAACTTTACAAAATATTAAAAACATGGACAAAGTACTTTGGATTACTACAGTAAGCTAGAAGCATGCATATGTGTGTGTGTACAGACACACACATATGTATATAAAAACATACACACCAGGACTGACTGAAAAAAGCTTCAGTTGGTTCAAAGTGTGACAGCCTACCTACTAAGTAAACTCCAGCTAAAACCAGATTTCCATCTGGCAACAACTACTTTCACCACTGCAAGACTAGGGGGCAATTTTTAGAGACCTACATGGACTAAACTCTGCGTAACACAGTAAGAACCAAGATACTTCCAAGATTAGCGCAGGCAGAACAGTGATTACTTTATGTTTTTATCATCTTTAGTAGTAAACATGCTCCTCAGTAACTACAGTAGGGATTTCTAGTAGATTGGGCTACCCTAGCTCCTTCTCCCTGAAGTAGCAGCATCTATTGCCTTCTTTTAGTTGTTTCCTTTCTCTTAATTAAAAATAAAAAAAAGCCAAAGTGCGTCTAGAAAAAAATATACATAATAAATGATCAGGTTTGGGATTTTAAGTGCTAACATATGAGAGAATAGCTCCCTGGATTAAATGCCAAATATGACTGTAACTTTTTACATAAAGGAGGCTGGGTACTAAAGAGAAAGTGGGTGGCGGCTGGGGGCAGGGAATCAGCTGGTCCCTCAGACGCAGAGGAGCCGAGGGGGTGAAGCGACGACATCTCTTACCCACTTATCCAGAGGGACCTGCGTCAAGGAGCCGGTGCCCTGGTACAGATCCAGGCTGAGCTGCTCCAGGCTGAGCTTCTCCTGTAAGAAGTGACCCAGGTACCTCTGCAGCAGGTACCTGCAGGCCCTCTTCTTGATGGACTCCGAGAAAGGCCACGGCATGGCGGCTGCGCGCTGGGGGCCGCGGGGCCAGGC